GATTTTAAATCAAAACCTAATTAGACTACATATGCTGTTTAGGAAAAAGTTCTTAGGAAAGTAATGATTCATATAGGCTTTGATATTTCCAGATAACATCTGAGAAGAAATGTGATTTTAATTGTTTTAAATAACTTCCAATCACCCTCTTACTCAAATAAAAGTAGTTGAGCACAGTTCTTTAATCAAAAAAAATTCTTCAGTAAGACAAATACCAACTCCATATTCCTATCAACTATATCATCTGCACTTAATGATGAAAGCCTTTATTGACACACATTTTTCAACTAAGTAGTATTATAACTCAGGTATTCTATGACATATTTTTGAAAACAATACCATAATCCTCAAATGAGAAGTTATCAAATGATATTTAATACCTGAAAAACAAAAATCTGTGTGTACATGTTGAGCACCTAGGATGTCAGCCAAAGTTTGCTTTTTAGCAGTGTTGATATAAGATTTTCCTCTTTGATATTCTATGAGGGAAAATGAATTATTGTAATGTTATTTTAAATATAATGCACTTACTTGAATTATACATGTCAATATTTTTACTAGTGCTAAGACATGTTGATATAAGAGTTGGTATCTTTTTATTTTTCCTCTTTGATATTCTATGAGGGAAAATGAATTATTGTAATGTTATTTTAAATATAATGCACTTACTTGAATTATACATGTCAATATTTTTACTAGTGCTAAGACCATATTTCAAGAACTCTCAACTTACACTAGATTAAGGAAACCTATGTCATAAATGATGACTGGTATCATGTTCAAACATTAATAAACACATTTGCCAGGAAAGCCCTGGCCTCTGACACTTAATCACAAACATGTAAGCTCCACCTTTAAGAAAAAAAAAAGAAAACGGAAAATCTTAAAAATTTTTACATTTTTATGTCCTACTTAGTTATTTGACCCAGTTCTTAATCAGAAGTAGCCAGAATTTTCTTCTATTCCACAGAGCGATTGCCTGCTGCCTTAAGAAGAAAAGCTTGAGTATTTCCCCTGATAGAAGCCTGACAAGTCATAATGAGGAACTGTGTCTTCCAACGTCAAGCCAATACAGTTTCTGTTAATTGTCTGAATATTGTGATGTGACACACTGCACATAGAAATTATTTTCTGGAAACCAAGAAATAATACATATTTCCAAGACAAATCCCTGCAAAAATAGCCACAAATTTATAATAGGCAATAACAAGTTTTCATAAGCCTTTTTAAAAATCTGAATTCAATTTCAAACAGAAAAACAGAAGTGTAAATCCAGATTTCCAGTTTCTCTGCTACTTTAGTGATTCAATAAAGTTACAGAAGTTTGTTTTACCATCTATCTGAATGTGTAATAAATTCAACTATTTCTCTTATGTTTACTGTTTTGCCATTAGCAATATGTGACTATCAAGACAAGGAAACAATATATAGAGACATCAGACTTCAAGAAAGTTTATAAGAAATAAGTTGGAGACATTTATAGTGAGACATCATTGATATCCCAAGCTTCTAAACAACACATGAAGTCTACTGACATACAAACAATATAAAAGGCATATGCATATTCATTGATACCACCAAAAAGAGTTGGTTTTCAAATGTTAAAAATTGTCATCATTTTCTACAAAATTTTCAAAAGCCTCAATGCAACTCAATAGAAGTTTGATGGTAAGACCTTAATTACAGGACAGTACACTTAAGAAAAGCAAACAAAAAAAACCTGAGTATAATCATGTATTAAAACTGAAACTCACCACATAGAATAACTAAATGTGATCTGTAAGTCAAACAACTTCTGTCTACAAAATTCTGCAATATAAAGCAATTACTTTAAAATATTCTTCAGAGACCAGGAGACATATAGTGGAAGACAGAATATTTTGAAAGTATAGTTCATCTTCTGGTTTCAGACAAAATAATGAAAACATAAAGTCTGAGGTTTATACTCGTGCATTTATGATACGTACTATCTGTTATCAACAACAGATGATTTCTGGAAAGGCATAACTTTCTGAGAAACCCACCAAAATCTTCACACTTTACTTCGAGAACTGACTGAGTTGAGGATGGTGTATGGTGTTGGGGTGAGTTGGGAAAGGGGGAAGCAACACCCAATTGCAAGTTTATGCTTGACTGTTATTCAGAGTAAATTAATCTTCACACTTTACTTTGAGAACTGACTGAGTTGAGGATGTGTATGGTGTTGGGGTGAGTTGGGGAAGGGGGAAGCAACACCCAATTGCAAGTTTATGCTTGACTGTTATTCAGAGTAAATTTTATTATTGTTTATCATCAGCTATAATTGGTCAACTGGATGAAAATATCTCTTTCTGTGAACAAAGCTGCCCCAAGAATGCTAAAGCCATCTTAAATATAAACAGGCTCGTTAACAAGCCTTTCATTGCATTGAGCCAAGGCTTAGATACATGGTTATAAGGTAAAGGTAGTATTTTTAGAAGTTTGTTTAAAAGAAAAAGCAGGTCACCATATAAATCATGACACCCACCAAATAATGTGGACCTAAACCACACAGCTGTATGTCAAGCTATTTTCTATTCTGATGCTTTACCTAAGAATTAGCTAAATATCCAACATGCAAAAAAAATAAAATATTTACTTACACACACACACACACAAAAAAAAAATCTTGAATTTTATAAATTAAGTATTGCGACAGTCACAAAGTATTCGAGTTTCAAGTTTCACCTCTACACTCTCCAGGCCAGCCCATGCACAAGCACATCAACACACACGTCAGACCGCTGGACGTGCCATCCACTTGGCTCTGGCAACCACCCGCGCGAATCAAAAGGCTCCAGAGGGACCCAGAAACACCAAACCAGGGCACGGGGGCAGAGAGCGGCAGCTCCTCTGCCTGACCTCGGGCTGTGCGCGCTGTCTACAGAACCTTGGACAGCGGTCTCCCGGCCCTCCTCTCCGCGCAGCCCAGCCCAGCCCAGCCCAGCCCAGCCCAGCCCAGCCCAGCCCAGCCCCGCGGCTCACCCCACTGCGCTTCCACATCTGCACTGCCCACCAGATTCCCTGGAGAAAGGGCAAACAGACTAAGTTGCACTCATGGTTTGGGGTTTTTTTCCTTTCCCCTTCTGAAATATCTTTCATGTTTAACACAGATTGGTTGGCCAAATTCTCAAAACATAAAGCAATATCATCTGGCATTCAGAAGCGCAGAAATGTAGGTCATTGGCGTTTGTCTAGTTCATTAAAGTTTCACACAATCATTTTTAATGTCAACAACTTTTTCTCTATCATTAAAAAGTATTTCTCCTCGTTGGGTGTGTGAAGGGAAAATCATTAAACAGCATAAATTTGCTGTTCTGTTCATTTTCAACACCTTTTACACCCTGATATTCTGTCAAGCAACTGAGGACTTTGTGTTAAAGTTCAGTCAAACTAAACTGTGGTACAAAAAATTTCTTGAAGTGTGCAAATGCTGATTGTTTCGCATCATGGAATAGTAGGTCAATTTCTAATTATAGAGCTACTGAAATGACAGAGATTTCCTGAGAGCAATAGATATCTATTTACATTGGATACCCTTTTTTACTTATCCAATTCATTCTGGAAATAAAATACGTTTACATTATCAGTAACTGAATACATAGCATACATGCAATGAGTGTGTACACACACAGTTTGCAATCTAAAAAGAGTTGAGTCAACACTTCTGGTGATTCTACTTTACTTTTGTCATGTGTAGAAAGAAAAAATAAATACAGTAACTTTCCTATCTTTATCCAATTAGATAACAGGTTATTTCAGCTTCTGGAGGGACTCTGGATCCATTTTTGTGGCAAATATATGCACAAATTATACTAAGTTATTGCTGAATGGGACTGTTTAAGCATAAGCTGTTAACATTAAATGATTTCAGAAGGCCCTGCTGAAGTTACAGAGCACAGAGGTACTGCCAGGCCTCCTATTCAGAGCAGTGATTTGCATGCACTGTTGTGTTCCACTGCTAAAGCAGAATTTGGTTCAGACTGGTTATTGCTACAGTAGTTGAGATAATCTAGCTCAGGGAAGAAATACTCATTTCCTACCAGGTACTCAAACAGGGGGAAAAGCATGCAGTTAGCTATTTTAGGCACCTGGGACAACTCTTTACTTCTGCCCTGTCTTGAGAGATAGGCCAACTAACCTTGTGCAAAAGTACAGAGAAGGCAACATCTACAAGAGCCAAAGTGGGACCCTCTGCCTTCCAGCAAAGGAAAAGAAAAGCCTCTGGATCTCTCTGAGCCGTCACCAGCGGCACCAAAGGAAACAGCGGTGGCTTATCAAAATGCTGGCACCATCACTTCCCAAAGAAGGGGCACTGCGGTGCCCGTCTACAGACACTTGTCCTCCAGCTTTCCCCAGCTCCACAGATTTAGGCAAAGCGCCCGCAAACTCTGTCCCGCTCCCGAGGAGGCCCGGCTCCGCACCGCTCTGCCGCCGTCCAGCATCGCCGCCCCGGGCCAAGCGCCCGACGGAACCTACCCGGAGCCTCCGGTGCGCGCCCCTGGCCCCGGGGGAACCACAGCCCGTGCCCGGGCACCGCGGCCACCGGCACACCGAGGGCAGCGCCGTCGGGCAGCCCCGACCCCGGTTCCGCTCCGAGCCCCGCTCATTGTCATGCAGACCCTGTCGCTGCCTGCCGCCAAGTCGCATCCCAGCCCGCTGGAAGCCGGCAGCCGAGCCGGAGCCAATCGCATATTCATGAGGAGGGGGAAATCCAGCGCTACGCTCCCAGAGGACCGAGGATCGCTTCTTTTTGCGTTTTCTCAACCTTCCCCCTCTCTCTTCCTCTCTTTTAATAATGCGCTAAGGGGGGCATCCCGGCCGATACCCTCCGCAGCATCGCCTGCACCGTGAGAACCGCGGCCGCCGGCGCCAGGGGCAGAGACCGAAGCAGGCACAACAGGGTCCACGGCAGCCACAACAGCCGAGGGAGGCACGCCAGCCCGACAGCCAGGGACAGGAAACACAGCAGGGGCTCCTACCTTACAATCCTCAGGACACGATTTCACCGAGTACTCATCCGACTGTAAATATTTCTGGAGCATAACCTCAAACTCTTCGTATTTCTCCTGAGCGTGCTGGTCGTAGCGCTGGTAAGCCTGGACGCACTGGCTGCAGGAGCCTTCCCCCTTCAGCACCACATCCAGACTGCAGTTCAAAGTGTCCGGATTGGACAACCCGGCGAACAACTCCCAAAGTGTGTAGGAATTACAAAAGGAAAGGTAAAAATCCGTCAGGTCCCAGCCGGGCGCCGGGCTCTGCCCCGTGCCCCGCGGCCGCCCCGAGCCCCCTCGCCGCTGGCACACCGCCTCCGCGTCGCCCACGCTGAAGCACTGCCCGGACGAGGAGCCCGGGGGGGGACACGTCTCCAGGGGCCTGGCGGTGGAGTTCCCCAGGAAAGCAGCCTTGCCGTGCCGGGGCTCGGTGCCGTTGGTGCGGCTGCCGCGGCTGCCGCCGCCGCTGCTGCCGGGGGAGGGCGGGAGGGAGGGCGAGGGGGGGGCGAGGAGCCGGGGCGCGGGGGGCGCCGGCTCCCCCATGCCCGCCAGCAGCTCCGGCTCCGCGGGCTCCGGCTTCTCGGGCGGCGGCTGCTCCTTCTCTCCGGTCCCCGTGAATTTGGCCTCGGCGCAGAACCACAAGTGATCAGAGAGCAGGACCGTGAAAAACAAGAGCGATGCCAGGGACAGTCGCCATTTCTGAGCCCTCTCTGAATCCGTGAAGGGTTTCTCGTTCTCCCGGGGTGCGAACCAGATTTTTAAGCCGTCATCATACTGCCGACTACACATCCAAGCACCCCTGGTCATATTTTGGGAACGCACAGCCCTGGCCGACTCCACCGTGAGGGCTCCTTTGCCAGTGTCACCACAATATGCATTGACTTAAAAGATTGGGGGGATTTTCTTGCCTGCCTTCCCTTCTCTCGCTCGCTTGCTCTCCCCCACTCTCTCTTCCACTCTCCCCCTTCTCTCTTTCTTCCTCTTTTTTTTTCTTTCTTTCTCTTTTTCTTTCTTTCTTCTTTCTTCTTTTTCTTCCTCCGAGATATTGTTGGTTTTCGCCGGTGGCTCTTCCTTAGTCTCACCACACGAAACAGCCCCAGTCCATCCAACGCGGAGTGCCGTGGAGAAGATAAGAGCAATAACGCAGAGAGAGGAGGAGGAGGAGGGAGAGGAGATGGTGGTGGTGGTGGTAGTGGTGGTGGTGGTGGTGGTAGTGGTGGTGATAGTTGGTGGTGGCGGGGCTGCGCGACTGGTCCTTTCCCCCTCTCACCCAGGCATGGTCAGATCGCAGCTCCCCATCTCCCTCCTGAGAAAAGCCCACTGCGCCCGGACAACCGCATGCCGCGTCCCCCGCTGCCGACGGACGGCTACGGGAGGGCTCCTCGCCTCCTCTCCCTCCCTGCCGCCGCTGCTCCTCTTGCTCAGCCCCGAGCCGCGGCACAGATGCCTGCACCGCTGTCTCAGTCTCTTTCTTCTCTCCCCGCTCCGCTCTAACTGGAGAGACGCTGCTGCAGGGCTCCCGGAGCGCTGCCGAGGATGCTGAAGAGGAGGAGGAGGAAGAGGAAGAGGAGGAGGAGGCTGCCGGGGCCGCCGCCGCTGCTGGTGACAATGGGCTGCGGCTGCCGCCGCTGCTGCCGCCGGGCGCGGTGTCCCCGGGCGCACGGGGCGGAACTGCCTGGCTGGGGGCCCCCGATGGGCACAGGCATCTTGGGCCCCTGGGCTAAGTTGCCGCCATCTTCGTCCTGGAGAAACACTTTTTTGGGGGGAGCTCTGCCTTTTGCGTCATCTCCTCCCGCGCCGAGATCGCTCTATCCTGGCGCATTGGCAGCAGCAGCAACTCTGCCTCCTCCCGCCTGAGGAGGAGGAGGTGGGTGATGCACTGGGGACCACATGGACCCTCCAAAGGGCTTCCTCGATGCAACTCTTTCTACTCATCTCACCGAAGGGACTGCTCAGCAGTACTGTCCAGCCTTCTCTCCTTCAGAGTCTCCTTCCCTTTGTGGCTGTGGAACACCATGTCCATGCAGGATGGTGGCTGGAGAGGTCTGTCTCCGTGTCTGTCCTTGTCATAGCAAATCACAAATGGCATATGACACTACAGGCTCTGCATCCTGGGCAGTTTTGGCCACACAGTAAAATGTCTGAACACAGTTGCCTGTCTCTCAGTCAGAGAGCTGTAAAGCAAAATGACCATAAATCCCAAGACATTTCCCCAAGAGAAGTTTTGCAAAACCCTGGTTCAGCCCATGAGCTGGGTAAATATGGCCTGTCTGTGTGTTCTCCTGTTTAGATATCACTGCTTAGAGAGAAAGACAGAGGGGCCAGGCTTAGCCCTCCTTCTAGGGTGATGAAATCACCTGGGGTGATGATCTCTACTTGGAACCGGGACAGAGATCCAAATACCATCTGTGCCCCAACTGTGGAGGTCTCTTGCTCAAATAAACTTTCTCTTTGGACACTCCTAAGTGTCTCTCACTCCTTTCCTCTGGCTCACTTAATGTAACAGCAACAGAACAACTTGGATCCCACACATAAGACAAGAGCACGTGCCAACTAGAGGTTGAACACTAACAGATGAAGACCTGGTATTCACCTCAAGACATCAGGTATGCTATCTGGCCAAAGGATAGCATACCAAGATGTGTATCTTAATTACTCCATTGGACTGGCAGAAGGTTTAGAAACCATATTTTTCCTTGTTCCAGAGGCTTTCTCTATCCTGAAGAACTGATAATTGCCCTTGGAAAAGGCGTGCAATATATTGCAAAAGGTGTCTTTGCCCCATTTTTTGGTTAAAGAAAGACTTTTTTCTTAACAAACATGGTCTGTAATATAATACAGCTTGCTGATGGTTCTTGAGTTCAGCTTCAAAAAGTGTAGAGGGAAAAGACCTGAGACTAAAGAAGAGAACAAAACTTGTACCTTCTCTGACTGCAACTGTCATTAACAGAAGGGTGATCTTTCCAAGGAATGTGCTGGAATTTCTGTCACTTTGAGCAATAAATCAAGGCTGGATGTTTTTCAAAAGGAGATTCTAAACCTCAAACAGAAGATGCAGATCTGAGGTATGAATTGCTGAGCAAGGTTCTGTGCCCTGTGTTGTGCTGGGGGACAAAGCGCGTTTTCATAATGGTCTCATCTGGCCGTACAGGATCTATGAGTCAAATACTACAGCAAGCAGAAGTTATATGTGGATTTTATTTTGATAGGGTATTTAAAGACACAGAAATAAGTGTCCATATTGTAAAGAAAGGTCTACAGTACTCAAAGCAGAGTGTGTCTTTGCAATTTTCAGTCAATCAGCTCACACTGTCAATATAATGGTACATTATTAATTTTGGTCTTGGAGCTTTAATTGCAATGATTTGACATACTGGATTTTGTACTGAATTTGTCTTTTTGTAATGCTTTCTGTTTTGGGACAAGGCTGTGACCAAGGTTTTTAACAGCATTCAGGACAACTTTTCTACTCTAAAATGTAACATCATTTATTTAATTACCTTTTGCTAGTTTGACTACATATTTCTTGTTAGAATAAAGGGACTGGAGCAGAAATACAGGACAAAAAAGAAAGAAAAGAAAAATAAAAAAGAAAACCCAAACAAAACCAAAAATAACTGAAGTAAACAACAGATTCTTGACATCAGGTCTGAGATTTTAAAAATGTGCTCTACTAATATATGTGGCAGGGACTGTGTAATTATTCTGTGTTTGACAGACAAGCATAAGGTGAAGAAAGTTAGCTTTGGAGTCCATGCCTGGCAAAGAGGCTTAATTTATATATATATAAAATGTTGTTTCCCTTTTGTCCTGTTGGGAAAATGAGAGGATAATTGCCAATTTTGCAATCCACAATGAAATTATAAAAGTTCCTTATCTCCATAGTGGAACTTCAAGAATTGGTAATGAAAAGGTGCTGATATTCAGATCTCCTTTGAAACTTAATATAAAATGAATTCCTAAGTCTTTGCTCCTCTGTTTACACTTGTCTATGATCAAAGAAAATGTACTCTAAGTTGGTATGCTAAGATGGTTTAGATATACTTGGTTTCTCCAAAAAAAATTCATTTTCATGTCATTTAACATTTTCACACATTTCTCAACTTTTTTTTTTTCTGGAAAAATAGAGTGAGAGTTCTTTTTCAACACCTAGAAATAAACTATGACAAGACATTTGGTATTTTCAAAATGAGCATGTCCTTGCTTTTCCAGTGACAGTTTTCTGTAACAGAGAACACGTCACGCAGGACTGTTGTTTCGCCTCTTGCGTTTCACCCAAAGCCCCATTCACTCTCCACCTTGCACAGTGAATAACTTGCAGCTTAGTTTCAGTAGCTGGTTCCTGATGGATCTGAACAAATGCAGTTCAGTTCTCTGGTGCCCCTTAGTGTTAGGTCTTGGAGCTCAAGGGAAAAAATAAGGCTATAAAATAATATCTGAAAATCAAGAAGTTGTATACAGTAAGGGAAAGAATCTGAATTATATAGTGTAGCTGCTTTCTCTAAAAGTTCCTTCAAATTTTTTTTCTATAAATCTGATCTTAATAACAGCATTTTGTTTGATATAGTTTAATGAATTATATGCATGGGAAGTAAAGTGAAAAAAATTCCTCAAAAATATTGCTACAGAAGCATGTCCCCATATTCATAATTCTTCCTAAATAACTCTAGTGGTGCAAACTACTTCACTTTGAAATTACATATTTTACTGGGAATATTTATTACTTGTGTTTCAAAGCTTGGCAAGTGTGAGGAATTCATGGAATCCTGTCTCCCTAGCTGGTGGAATCACCAGATGTTTCACAGATGGATCTCCTTAAAGTAATGTGGTTCAGTGTCATCTCTGCCACACTGTGCTGTAATCAATACAATCAGAGCTGATGTTCTTTCATTCTTTGACTCATAATATGTAAGACAACTGATTTATTGAGCACTAAAAACAAAGTCTAATAGGATTATTATGGTCTAATTCCAGATACTTGAAACTATTGTCTAACCTACATACCTTGTGTTTTCTTTGTAAAAATACTTTAGCTTAACAAGCAGAAATATTTATTGATGTAACACATTAATGGTCATAAACACTTTTCAGAGTGGAAGGCTTTGCTGTTTCAAAGTAAATGTTGTTATATTTTTGCCTAATATCAGGCAAGAAGCATAATTTCCTGCATAATTCTCTTGCATTACTTTGTTGTTTACAAAATTGTAACATCAAAAGAGCAGTATATAGGTCTTTCAGATGATTTTAACAGGTTTGAGAGACATGTCTTGTCTTTGTAATGTATATTCCTTATATAAGAAAAAACCTTATTTCATAATTGTTAGGGAGCATTTCTTTTTGTAAAAGGCAGGTTATTTTAAAGAAACTAGATTTCATTTTATTTTTGGTTGATTGGTTCTACTGGTAGGAGCAATTGTTGCAAAAATTATTAACAGAAATACTCAGTTACACCTTTGCACTGGAGGCTCATCCACCACTTTCAATACCAAGCAAACATAATCAAGCCCTTTATTAGTACCTCATTGATTTTTTAACAGTTTAAACTATTTGTCTTCAACAGAAATATCTATACATTCATTGTAGGCAAAATATGTCATTCATGTGATTTAACATCCTCAGAGCTGTTTAGTTTTTGGTTTATTTCAACATCTTACAACAAATTTTGGGTACTATATTACCCATTACCTGGACCGTGGATCAGAAATTTAATTATTTCAATCCATTTGATAAGAATAATTTCCATGATGGTTGTAAGATACAAGAAGTTAAGAATACTGAAGAACTAATTTTTTTTTCTCATCACATTCCTAATGTCCTAGTTTCCTATTCAGTATTT